GGGGATGCCTTAAAAATATGCTATCACTTTTAATTGAATTCGAATCCACAAATTTAGTTGATGATGTTCTACAAAAAAGAAAAAGAAAATCTAAGAATGTCATCAGTATCCATTTTATACTCAGCTGTTGAGATTTTATTATACATGCTTTTTTAACATCTTGCAGGAAAGCTGGTTGGACCTGCCATATCCATGGAATCCTTTTCATTTATGTAAGACTGAAATACAGAATTGGAAAGATAAAATACTGAGATAAAATTCTGAACATGTATTCTAAGCTATGCAATTAGCTTTTGTCTTCTATATGTGTCACAAAAAAATAAAGAAAAGAAAAACATAATAAATTAAACTTCTCGAAATGTTGCTAATTTCCTGCTCCTCCCCAGGCCCAGCCAGAGAACTATACTTGAAATTTATTTATTTTTGTTTTTCTTAAGTGAGTCAAGTGCTTCAACCTGAAAGTATTTACTTTCAGCTTTAGAGTTAACTCCTTAAGAAAAATTAGAGAGTGTGTATTTACTCTCATGCCTTCCTGATCCTTGAGTGGTATTCTTTTTAGAAAAGAGTTAATATGCCTCCCAAACAGACGGCCATACCACCCTGATCTCGTCTTATCTCAGAAAAGAGTTAATACATTTTAATAGAGTTCATATACTTACTTTCATGCTTGCAAGGAGCAAACATAAATTGCATTCCTCCATTTTTCTCCTAGCACCATTCCTAATTCTTAGTCATATCTATCCTACTCAGATTGAAGCTTTATTTCATAAAAATGAGACTAGACAACAATTATTATTTTCCTGTCAATGGGCCCTGATTGGTGCTGTTGACTATTGTGTCTGAGATAGGTCTCCATATTTTTTCTCTATGATGAACTGTAGCTAATTTCTCTTTAGGTTATAGTTTAATTTTTATTTTTTAAGGCACATCTGACTGAAAATACAGAGATAACAGGGGCCAGAACAGTTTTTGATACTGCTTCTTTAGTCTGATCTTTGGTGGACAAACTTCTCCCTATATTATGGGGAAATCTGTTATGAACTATGATGGAGTATCCAGTCTTAGAAACTGTCATCCCACATAATATATCTCCCCAAATTTACCTCAGTCTAGGAATGTTGGGTACATTTATTCAGGTAGATGGCTTTCAGCACCAAAACCTGAAAAAGAGTTTGACTTAACTTCCATCGTTTCCATGTGTGTTCCAGAATTTCCTCCTTATTCCTTTGTGTGGCCTACAGTTGGAATGCCCACATGTACCCATCACATGGATACACTCTTCTAAATGGAAATAAAATGTCTCAATAATAACTTTCTAATGTTTCATATCAAAATGAGTATAACATTTAATGTAGATTTTAATTTTAAAAGTCTCATTCCATCTTTGTTTCACACTAATACCTTCTAGGAACAACAAATATCTCTTAAAATGACTTTTTTTTTTATCTATTTAAAAACTATTTCAAATATTTGACATTTCACTTTGCTGTAGTGACTTAAGTTATACCAAGTTCCAATCTTCTGCATAGCTTCTGTTGATTTGGATAAGACAAAGGGTGCAGGAAGCTGACCGGGGAAAAAGTTCAAATTTGTTTTTAATCAGTTCATTTGGAAAGTTTTCCTTCTGTGATTGCTGTAAGATTTAAAATTGGACATTTTCCCCCTAACCTGTGAAGCATGATCTTGTGTCACCCACACGTGCCATTTAAACCCTTCTAATTAGCCAAATCTGAAAGTTAAAAGGGAAATCTTCAAATTAATTTTAACAGTATTTAATGCAATATCCCACTCAGAGCTCAAATAAAGAAAGCCAATGAGAGGATTATGAAGCCCCATTTATATGTTGAGAGACATCTCTTCTCAGGCATCTGCTTGTACTTATAGAGAAGAAAGAAGGAATGCCACAGGCAGGATTTTGCCCTCTCCAGGAAAACTCAGATTTCTTTCCAGAGTTCTCCAGTGGACCTGGAAAAATCACTCAAGCTAATTAGAATCAACTTAAGATTAACTGATTATTGATGGTTTCAATAACATCTCCTACAACTTCCAGCAACTCCTAGATAGTGTTTTTTCACATAATTTGGTACAGTAATCTACCCAAATTGACTCATTAATACAGCCACAGGTGGCAGACCCTAACTTATTGTTTGAATCATTGATGGTTTTGTAATGAAAAAACCCAGAGCCAGATATTGGGATAAAAGCTGAAAGATCAGAGAAGCAGAGAAAGCCACAATTACCACCTATTACCTCACCAACTCCATGAATCCTCCAACTGAAATCCTCTGAGTCCTCACCCAAAAGGGTCTCAGCTAAACTGCTTTAGTTCCTGTTTCCTCACACCTTATATACCTTTCTCTGCCCTTCTGTCACTTCCTGGGATCAAAGGCATGTCAGATTAAAGGTGTGTGCCACCAATGCCTGGCTCTATTTCCAGTGTGGCCTTGAACTTACAGAGATCCAGATGAATCTCTGTCCCTTGAGTGATAGAATTAAATCTGTGTGTGCCACCACTGCCCGACCTCTATGTCTAATCTAGTGGCTGGCTCTGTCCTCTGATCCTCATGCAAGTTTATTAGGGTACACAATATATCACCACACAAACTAGCTTCATTGCAAAATGTGATTAATATAAACATCATTAAAAAGATACTTCATTTTCTAAACTGAGTCTTCGTCCATTTTATTCTCATAAAACGTCTTAATTTGGACTTGCCACATAAGTCTATACACAGATGTCTATCAGTGAAGTTGGAACATTGATGATGTATTTTGTTTGTATATGATACTGCTTATTGTGTATATTTAGAGTAGTGATTTCCAATGAGGGTTCATTTTGTGTGACAGGAAACGTTTGAGGATACTTAAAGACACTTTTCATTGTCACAATTAAAAATGTATATGGCACTACTAGTATCAATTAATTAGATAGAGACCAGGGATGCTGATAAAAAATATCCTTGAATGCACACAATCACCCACAGCACGACCAGACCATATTCACCTAATCTAAGATCACAATGCTAAACTGAGAAATGTTTCTGTGGAGTTGAATGTGGAGGCATTAGAGAAATAAACAGAATTGGGAAAGCCAGGCAGATAGAAATGCTCTTTGGTTTGTCTCTGTGCCTTGCAGACTAATTTTTTTCAGAGGTATCAATGAACTCGTAGTCTTGTCAGCACTGGGTGACCATACTCAAAGTCACAATGAGATGAGGGTGGACAAATGGCATTGCACATATTAAAATGATAGATTAATGATAGAAATTGAGGGAAGACCTTCACAGGTGTGCGTATCTGCTTAGAAGAGGAACGAATGTCATTCGTTTTCTTTTCCCAGGATATTGATGGTTTTTGCATGCCTTGTCTGGATATAGTAGACTTCTAAAATGTAACAAAGAAAATACAAAATAACAGATGGGAAATTTAAATATGTACAGTAATTACTGTCATGTCTGACCAGCTGCCAAAAAGCAAATTAAACAAACAAACATCATTGGCCTTCTTAAAGAAAGCACATGATATCTAAGAATGAGTAATCTTTTGGAAGTAGCAATAACAGTTTTCAAATCTTCATCTCAAATTTACTTTTTTCCAAATTCACTGTGAATTTAGAATTAACCTCATTTTCTAAGGCTTTGCAATATATATACATATATATTATAATATATTATAATGAAGATAACTGCAAATTGAATAAACTTGTGAAAATTTCATATTTAAAAATGCAGCTAACTATGAAATGTACTATATATGATTGTCATAATTGTTGCTTAAATACAATGCCAGATGCCACTTATAAATGTATTTTGGCATCAACAATTCTAGGATATACTTTCTGTTAATGGCTACAGTTCACTTCATAAATTCTTAATTAAACATGAAGAAAAAACCTAAGTCTTTCTTAAAATATAAGTGAAATTCATACTAAAGATTATCAGTTTACATTGAGATTAATTAAAGTTAAGGACATAGTTTGTGATCATTTTCTGGAAATGGTGACAGGTATCTCTGTCAGCGTAAATTCTCATTTTTTTTTTTTTTTTGTTGGTGTTGTTTGTTTTTTTTTTTTGAGACAGAATTTCTCTGTGTAGCTTTGTGGCTTTCCTGGAACTCACTCTGTAGAACAGGCTGGCCTTGAACTCACAGAGATCCGCCTGCCTCTGCCTTCCAAGTGCTGGGATTAAAGGCTTGCGCCACCACTGCCCAGCTAAATTCTCACTTTTTTAAATGACTGATTTTGAGATGATTCCAGTTTGTCCTTTATTTCCATAAAGAAATAATTTTATGTGGTAATTATTAACAAGCATCTTTCAGGCCACAGCAAGGGATGGATCAGCCTGACTACATCTTGGGCTTGAAGGTCGTCTTACAGTAGAGACAGACTAGGCTCATTCTTGCTTATGATTAAACCTCTGTTTCTCAAAGATCGGGCCATGCCTCACCTGTAGCCTTAACTACAAATGGTTCTACACTGCCCGTTCTAAGAAATGACAATCATGCCTTTGTTTCAAAACCGTCCCCCAACCTTTGTTTCAAAAGGTTGTTATGACCTCTTACTGCTGTGATCACCTTGTGACCACCTTGCAACCATGTCGTTGTTTCAAGAAGTCATTATGACTAACTTGTTAGCTTACGTTCTGCTGCTGTAACTCTGGCTATTTTGACTGTCAAATCTCCCATTTAGAAACTCCCTACCCCTATTTATAAAAACAAAACAACAATAACAAAAACAATGTTTTCTTCACTTCTAGTACTGGCCTTTCGAACCCCACCTTAAGGAGAGGCAGCCCATGTACATGAGTAAAAAAGCTTGCTTTAATTAATTTGGCCATGGTGATTTGGGTCGGTGGTCTTTCTCCTTCCATCTTTGAGATTAACACAAACTTGTTAGATAATTTCATATTTTGTTATGGAATTTAAAAGTTTAGGTCACTGGTATGGTTTAGATTTTATACTTTTTCAAGTTCTTTTAAACTATGTATTCTTTGTTTCTATAGAAATACACAAAGAAAAGGCTGAAAAGCAGGAGAAACCTGAGAAGAAAATACAAACTAAAGGTACAAGCTTCATTTTATACTGATACTGCTGCTACTCCTGTCTATTCCTCCTCCCGTGACTTCTCCTGCTCCTCTTCCTTTTCCTTCTTCTCTTCCTCCCCTTTTTTCCTCCTCTTTCTCTCCCTTCTCCTCCTCCACCTTCGTCTCTCTACCGCTTCCTCCTCTTCACCCTCCTTTTGAAGAGGTACCCATTTTTTTGGTACATTCGTATGGGAGCAAAAATATTTTCGTGGTTAAGAATTTTTACTTTTAAATTTTTGGTATTGTTCACATCAATTCTTGCTTCTGAGGTTAAATTCCAGGTATGAGTATCTGAGTAACATTCAATGATAGAAATCAAACCAACTTCAAAATTGGTGAAAATATTTACTTTTAATGGCTTTTCATTAATAAATACCAGTACATCATTTTACTTAACAATCATTTTTTTCTTTTAACCATTTCCTATAATGATTCAGAGTTCACATTTTAAACATGAATTTGGCACGCCATTGAATGCTTTCATAATCATTGGTTCAGACATGTAGAATTCTTAGATTACATCACTAGAATACCCTGGGCCCATGCTCTCTTCACAGCCTCAAAGGGTAGATAGACTGTGACAAGATAAAAATTCATAGTCCTTTCTGCCAGTCTGAATCCAAGACTATGGCCATGCAATAGAATCATTTCAGTAAGGGCTAATACTTCCTAGCTCATTTGACAAGTGTTAGTTTTCTAGGGGAGATCCCTGAAGCCTTGAGATTTTAAATAAACTTACAGCGAGCAATGGCATGCAACAGGAACAAATTTCTCAACATGACCACGTTTTGCAAATGGGCAATAATATATAATTTTGGATGTTCTGGGGGGTTAAAAAAATTCTTTCCATTATCATACTTATAGGATACAGAGAAAAATAATAAAATAATTTCCCTGAAATAAAAATTAATTGTTGGAAAAGGTGGGTATGTTGCCAAGTAGAAGAATGCTTGCATACATAGCATGTGCAGAAATCTGAGTTCCAATTATCTGAACCTCCCATTTGCAAAATTAAACAAAGCAAATGTAGTTATATATTTATTATATTAAAAACTAGCTAATGTAAAAATTAGCTGTCACATGTAGCATAGTGGAAAATATTTAGGTTTTCAAACACTGGAAGCCCTTATTAGCTTGCAATGGTATGTTTATGTTGGGATGTCTAAATTATAAATATATGTCTTAATCTCCTTATGAGATTATGGGGGCCATTTACATTGAAATTATCACATTCGTTCCCTGGTCCCATAAACTTGTAACAATATCATAATACAAAATGCATTTAGTCCAAATTCAAAATTTCACATTGTCTATCACAGTCTCAACAATGTTTAAATGTCTAAAGTAAATAGTGTCTTCTGAGATCATGTAATTTCTTAACTGTAATCTCTTGTAAAATCAAAATCAAGAAGCAGATCACAAAATTCCAAAATATAGTGGCACAGGATGTACATTACCATTCCAAAATGTAGGGAAGGGAGCATTGTGAGCATACTGGACCAAAGTGTGCTGGAAAACCATCTGAGCAAACTCCAAAGTCTGAATCTCTATGTCTGACATCAACATGCTTTTCAGATCTCCAACTCTGTTTAGCTTTATTGACTGAAACACACTTCTTTCTCTTGGGCTAGTTCCATTCCCTGTTAGCATCTCTCCTCAGTAGGTTTCCTATGACTCTGGAATTTCTAAACTCTTATGGTCTCCAATGCAATCCAGGCTTCAACTTCACAGCTTCACACTATGGCCTTTTTTAAGCCTCCATTCAGGGATACTCCTGACACATGTCTGGCCTCAGCAGCTTTCCTTAAGCATGGAGGAAAATTCCCTAACACATTTCTTTTATCCTTAACTCTAAAGTCAGAACCACATGGCCAAAGCTGCCAAGTTCAGCTGCTTGCTGTGGCTCCAACATGGCCCCTTCATTCAATTATAGCTTCACCAGCTTTCTGTTTTTAATTGTTACTTTCACTGTCTAAACTTGGCTGTCCTTGACCCTGCTCTGTAAATCAGGCTGGCCTCAATCTCAGGTATCTGCCAGCCTCTCCCTTCCCAGAGCTGAGATAAAAGACATGCACCACCACATCTGCCTCTAAGCTTTTCTTTAGTTCTTTTTCACTGGTTGGAAACTTTTCCGGGTGGGATCTTACTCTGAGGTCACCACTCCCTTTATTCCATTTTGTAATCCTTTTATCTCCTTGAATACAGGACTTAGCTCCATTCCACTTTGTAGTGCTTTTTCTTCTCAAACATTTTTCCTTGCTCAGTGTGGCTCCTTCTCATTATAAATCTTCATCAGATTTAACATGAATAACCACAAAACAGAGTCTATCCTAGGCTGTTTTAAGATTTCCTCTGCTGACAGAATTAACCCACAACTCTTCACTTTAGTCTCAGGCAGATTCTTTGGACAGGGTAAAATGCAGCTGCTTTCTTCATCAAAATATCACAAGACCAATCTCTAAGCCACATACTAACATTTTTCTCCTCTGAAACCTCTTGATGCTCACAGTTCATCAAATCACACTCAGCACCACTGTTTTTCATGCACCTACTTGTATGGCCCATTAAGTAGTACTTAAAGCATTTCATTACTTTCCTAACCCTACCTCCCAAAGTCCATATTACTCCAAACAAAAACATGGTCAGGTCTAACACAATAATAACCCACTCATGTTACCAACTTCTGTCTTTGTTAGGGTTTTCATTGCTGTGAAGAGATACCATGACTATTGCAACTCTTATAAATGATAACATTTAATTGGGGTGGCTTGCATACAGTTCCAGAGGTTCAGTCCATTTTCATTTTAGTGGGGAGCATGGTGTTGTACAGGCGACATGGTACTAGAAAGGTAGTTGAGAGTTCTGTATCTTGCAGGCAACAGGAAGTTGACTGAAACACTGGGCAGTATTGTGAGCATAGGAAACCTCAAAGCCTACCTCCACAGTGACACACTTCCTCCAACAAGGCCATACCTACTCCAACAAAGCCAAACCTCCTAATAGTGCCACTCCCTATAAGATTATGGGAACCGATTACATTGAAATTAACTACCATAATTTATTTACTTATGTTTGTTTGATGTGCCCAGATAATCCTTCAGATATTAAATATATGGCCATAATGTTTGAATTCCAGATTGATCAGCCAAAACTTATACAATAAAACACTGACAGTCATTTACCTGAGATTTGTCTATGCTTGTATTTAGGGGCTAATGTCTTCTTACTGCCTGTGTTTCTTTTTTGGTTTTTAACTCTTCTGGCCAGGAAAATTGGACCCTGCTTATGAGCAGAGATTGATTAAAGGAAGCATAACTGAAATGGCTACTTTTCTCTGCCTGAATTTAAAGAGAAACTCCACTGGTTCCACTTGGTCAGCATCTCCACAGCTTCATTTTGCAGACTCCATTGTAATTTAGCAGCAAGACTGCTGGAGTGAGCATGGTGATGCTGATGGAAACATTTGCATTTTGGACCTAGCTCCCTGAATCCTGCTGTCAAAGTCTTTAAGCAGTGGGCTGTGGAGAGGGTTTATTAAACCACTGAGTCTCCTGTAATTAAAAGAGTGAATTTGGCTGGTTTAAAATAAATTTCCTAAAGTCTGTGCTGGAGATTAGTCATCTGAATTCATTTCTTGAGTAGAACAAACGTATCTGAGTAAAACAAATAATTCTGAAAGAGGAAGAGATAGGCAAACAGGTAGATAGGTAGATAGACAGACAGACAGATAGATAGATAGAGCCCAAAGATACTTAATCTACTTTTTCTCCCCTGTGGGAACATGAATGGAATATTTCATTTGCTTTCTAGTTTCCTGTCTGTAATTAGGATGGAATAATGTCTAGTTTTTGTTTCTGACAATAAGTCTTTTTTTTTGGTTTTTCGATACAGGGTATCTCTGTGTAGCTTTGCGCCTTTCCTGGGAACTCACTTGGTAGCCCAGGCTGGTCTCAAACTCACAGAGATCCACCTGGCTCTGCCTCCCGAGTGCTGGGATTAAAGGCGTGCGCCACCAACACCCGGCAACAATGAGTCTTATAACTACATTCTTGTGAACATTTTTAGACCTGTTCATATATGTAGATAAATGAGATGGTCTCTAAGTCACATTCCAGTTTGGCTATGGGTGAATGTGATGGCTAGTTATGGTTTACATTGTCATCAAAATGAGTTTAACCCTTATAGAAAAGTTTGCAATATTTTAAGATATGGTTACCTGTGATCATTATAAACAAATAGCTTAGTTTAAAAAGATAGAATATACTAAAGCTGAGGTATTGTGTGGAGAGATAAGGTTTGGTGGGAATGAAAACCAGATTATACACTCTTAGTTTCTTTTGTTTTTTTCCTTTTCCTCTTTCTTTCCCTTCCTTTTGCTTCCTTTCTGCTCCTACCTTTATAAAAACAAAACAAAAGCAAAAACTTGTTCTGATTTATAAGAAGACTTTAGTAATACAAGATAACTTTATGCCTAGAATATTTACTCATCAAAGAAACAGAAATGTAAATAATATGTAATGCCAGAGAATGGAGATTTCTAACACAAATCCATTCAAATAGTTTAAGTGATTTATATTAAAGAGTCACATAATCCATTTCAATTCTGACTATTATGCATAGAAAATAAGATAATTTTTATAGGTTTTTATGCTAGAAGTTTTAAATTTATAAGATGTTAACTCTTCAGTTTTGACCCTTTGTTTACTTTGATGCTTATTATTGGGGGAAGAATAGGACAGTTTCTGGAGTTAAAGAGTAAGCCTAGTAATATATATTGGTTATGGCTCTAAGCATAAGCTCTGACATGTTAGTTAATACTTGCCTTTAAACTAAATTAACCTTGGTAATATTTCCCCATAAAAGAAGTAGGAATTTATTTTGTAATTATAATGAGAATAATGTATGTTCTTATGACCTTGTATTGAGTTTGTGTAGTGAGTAATACAGTGGAACATTACATTTGCTTAGAAGAAACAACC